CAAACGAGAAGAAGGAAAAGATTTCAGCCAGTAAGAGAAAGAGAAAGAGCACTTTTGGATATCATGCTTCATATAGGCCATATACACATTTATGTGAATAACAAACAGGAGCATCAGCTGATAACAAAGTGATCAGTCCTTTTATATAAGTCAATTAAAAGAACAACAGCACATTATTGAAAAATTAAAATATACTCTCTAATAGTAAGATTAAGGCATCATCACAGACGGCATGCATAAGCGAAGCGGAATTAGCAATAAAGAGAAAACTGCTAATTGGCCTGTATTTTGTATGCTCTGTGTCTGCAGCTGCTCTGCGACGGTAAATTCTATAACAATAGTTTCTTCAAAGTTGGTCATACTCATCAAGTTTTTACCATATCTTTTCCTCCACCCCCTGCAGTAGAAGTTCTCTTCAGTGGAAGTTAATATATATGAACAGAGAGAATCTGTTTCTATCAGTTCTGTGCTACAAGGCTCGCTCTCTTGTCGTGGATTTATTATGCATGCACGAGTGTTGTTTCGCCCTATTTTTTGGATTTCACACTGAACCGGTATTGCGGTTAAAGCTCGTGTTGCAGTGCTGTTAACAATTATCACATCTGATCAGTTACATTCGAGTAGGTCCGAGCCAAAGTGCCTCATAATTTTGAGGAGATGCAAAATTTGCACTTGTTTTCCAATACTGTTCAAGTGCTCTCCACTCGGATTTGTATCTATTCCCGTTCATTTTTAAGCACACTGACGAATATACAGAGAGAGGGAGAGGCAGAAAATAAATAAAGTGAAAAAGTACATGAAATGCTTCCGAAATGTGCAGTAATACAATTACAATATTTTTATATCAACATCTCTGTGTTGGCTGTGTGTATATCTCAGGGTGTCATGTGGTAAGTGTAAACATATTGCTTTTTTTATTTGGCCATTCCACTTCTTTAGTCAAATAAAAAGGTGTTTCTTATCAAATTTAGTCTACAGTTTTAACTAGTGGGGCACAAAGTAGGTGCCAGCTTCAACAAATGCCAATATCCTGACCAAATGCCCAACTGGGTTATTAACAAATAATAACTATGTACAACATAACATCAAATAGCAACTTACAATAAAGCCTATTAGAGCTCAGTAGCACATGCTCACAATCTGAAACAGCTGGTGTTCTTAGTACACACCCTAAGCAGGGCCACCATTAGGGAGTTTTCCCACTAAAATGTCATTGCAGATTGGCGAGGGATAAAATCTGTGGTCTCCCTTTGGGCCCGGGTCCCCAAGCAGCTGTGAATAGGCACGCCTATTCACGAGACAGTGTGACTGGCTTCATCCCTTGATCCTTATCAAAAATGAATGTTTTTCCTTCGACCATGCTCCACTTGGAAACTTCCCTGGCAGTGAATTCATCATGTCCTTGGAGGAGGTCATGATCTCTCCGCATATGTCTCACCCAAACAACCACTTTTGTTTTACATTAGATCAAAGAAGCGAATGGCTCTCAAAATAATGTTACAGTATAGCTTTAATATAATGTCAGCGCAAAAGCCTGTAACCGTTCTTCATTCTATCACTGAGTTGAATCTACAAGAATGTTGTTCAATATTTAATTACAACTTACAAGAAAGTGACCAGTGAGGAGGGAGAAACAATTTAGCTCGGGGGCAGCAGGCAGGGAATGAGATTTTAATTCTTTATTATAATGCATTTGATTAAATCATAACAAACTGTCACGTCAGTCACACAGACAACAAATTGTAAACGACTACAGACTATTTCTCCCACTGTTTACCACGCCGAGCATAAAATGAAAGCTTCAAGTAAAGTGTTTTCAGCCCGAGTTTTCTTTGATTTTTCAGAATACATAACCACTCATACACTCTTACACAGACACCACATAAATTTGTTTTTGTGACTCAAAATATTTGACTATCCTATTGAAATTAGCTCAAGTGGCTTTCAAAGAGTCATATTTAAGTTATAATATATTTCAGAGATATGCCACCAACTCCATTTTGTATTTTTAAAGGGTCCTAATTATTCTGCAAGAAGTTTCTCATTATGGCCTGCATGGTTTGCTGCTGTAATTCAGCTCAGTCAGTGAAGTATCCTATAGCTGTCTTTAGCTGGAAATCTTATTAATTAATTACTTGAAAACCTCATAAATTCATCCAGCTTCCTCTTTGTCCTTGACATGGTTCCACCTGACTTCAATTCAATGTCAAGATGTAAGAGTTACATTATGACACTGATAAGCATATTATCATATGGTTCTTTGATTTCTGGTGCTGTTCAGCAGTCTTGAAGGTCAACTCAGAGATGAAGAATTTAAAAAACAAATGTAGTTACAGTTATTTAAAAATCATCTCCACAAGCCTCAGTGCAGCATGTTCACTGCTAATGAGCATTTTTTGATTTTATATACCATAGGAGTCATCAAAAAGAAAAAAAGGGGCAGTCTGAACTGTAATGATGGCAGTGAATCAGAAAAGGTGCTGCCACAGTTTAAATCTCTAGAACTCCCAGACGTTCCCAAAAGGATATTCATGTTTGGGGGCATTTTTCATGAATATATTGTATATCATTAGTTTGCAGTGCACATATTCTCAAATGCTGACAAACCACGTCTGTAAAACACTTTAAGCGTGACCTGTTCATTTCCACAGCAGCTCAAAGACATTAAACTGTGTGTCTGAAACTCTGGTCATGGTCCAAAACGACTCCTATTTGTGGCACAATTTCAGTTATAAAAAGGGATAAATTGGCACTTCTCCTACAAACTGTGGATAAGCGCAAAGAAAAAGAAAAAAAGCATGGAAGCTCACAGCTCTGCACAAACACTCACACGCATAATCATGCAAACAATCACTGTCCATTCAGGTCTGCAGATACATCAGTTGTGCTTATTCTGCAAACAGATTCATGCCAGTGAGGTAAATTGAGGTCTAGATTAATTTGGCACCGGTATATCAGGTTGACACATTATGTGTGACTGTGCATGCATAAGTGTGTGTATAAGAGGGGACTAACTATGTAGAGGTGTTTCTATAAGAGTGCCTATAGTGGAAACTTGTATGAGATGTGAACATTTCAACCAAATGAAAGCTAGCGCGCTTGATTTCAGCATTCAGAAGAAAAATGGGCAACCTCTTGCCAAGACGCTTCTGACATAAACAAATGGCCTCTGAGTTGGCCCACGCACGCACACTTAAGTGCACGTTTCGGCTATGATGTGTTCACACCTTTTCTCACATCTTTCTATGTATATTTTTCTCGTTGTTAAAAGTAATTATCCTGACAGAGTCAGAGAGGTGAGAAGAAAGGGTTTGGGAAAGGCAAGCGCACAGAAATATACAAAACCTCTCATGTACACACATCCACTGACATTCACTTACACGGTTCCTATGTAATCTTGCATAAGCCCTACAGTTGACCAATTCACAGCATTCATTATCTCAATCTTATCACACCGGCAGCGCTCAAATGAGCACTGCTCCGGGTGATTGGATCATTTTCTTGCAGTGACTTAAGCCCGCGAGGCAGATCAATACCATGCACTCTTGGAACGTCACAGGATCAATGTATATTAGTTACCTTTGTGTTGATTTTAGTATAGGAGAGTCCTACCACCCTGTCCTTCAGCCTCCCTTACCCTTCACACATACTGGATAAATTCCTGCACAGCCAGAGGAAGAGCAAGTTATTTTGCAGGTTAATGTATGTGAGTAGAGTACCTGGATGTAGCAAATAACGCTTAATGATGATTGTTACTGGCAATAATAACGCTGAGGTGCTTGTGAGAATCTGTATGTGTGTTTGTGATGCAGGCAGGGGTTATTTCTCCTCTTGCCTGCACTCTTATCCTCCCCTTCTTTTCCTCTCACCTCTGTTCCTGTGTGCAGGCATATTACGGAAACAAATTGGGGCCAATAGACTCTGTCACTGCCTGACCCGGGACTCAAACAGAAAAAAAGAGGATGCCAGAAAGGGAGAAAAAGGCAAATAGAGAGGATGAAAGGGAGTGGGGAGTGTGAAGTGAAAGAGAAGAAGAGTGATTTGAAGGAGGAGCATAAAAAGGAGGGACGGAATAAGTGCTACAAAAGAGAGGGAGCGAGAGATAGAAGATGGACAGAAGGAAAGGAAAGAAGCAGAGAGAGAGAGAAAGAAGTGACAACCTCAAATTAAATTCCCATCATGTCAGTGTAGAACAGAATTCAATAGTGTTTATTGGCAGCCCCTAGCCTCAGGGAAATTACATTCTGAAGCAGAGCATGGCATGAATGCACACACTCCTCAACACACACACACACAGTCACACACAAGGAAGCAAACACATCTATTGTACACAACACTGTGCATGTATTCAGACCATAAAAAAGGCCCTCTGGCTGATGTGAGCATGCAGACAAGCGATTTACTCCCTAAGGTCCGTGTGCCATTTGCATAGCGGTTGTGTATCTGTATCTCTATCCATGTGCTATTTACCTGCATGTCTCTGTGTGTATTTGTCTGTACAAAAAGTCCAAGTTGTGCGTTTCAGATGCTTAGGGGTTTTTTTTGTTTGGGGGGGGGGGTGTCATTTGTCAAACATCAGTTTCCTCACAGAGAGATTCAGACTATATGCCATTTTAGCACATACACAAGTTTCTATTATAGCGGCTGTATTAAACGTGTCCCCCGGCTCAAGTTGCCATGAGCACAGGGCTTTGTCCAGCCTCCAGCAGTGGCAGCAAAGGCAACATGCTTTAATGGCAAGCCGTTTAACAGTTTTATGCAGAGCACATGTGGAGGCTAATATTGCTGATTTCTCTGGGATGCAGATTTCCTCTAAATGGCTAACAATCTTCCATTCTCTTGATCCCCCCCTCCCCACTCCCTGACTCCTCTTGCTCTCTATCTCTACCTCTCTAACCCTTTATATCGCTGTCTGTTTATGCCTCTAGCTTGAGTCTTTCTCATTTCTCTTTCCCAATCCGTCCAACACGTTCACTCATTCTTCCCATCTCTTTCTCCAGGAATGCACGGAGAGGGCTTTGGGTTGCTCGGTGGAGGATCTGAAGGCTCTTTTCTACTGTGAGCTGTGTGACAAGCAGTACCTCAGACACCAGGAGTTTGACAACCACATCAACTCCTACGACCATGCACACAAACAGGTACACGAGATGCACACATACACACTGTGTAGGGACACAAAAACTAACACACAGGTTCTCTCTCTCTCTCTCTTTTTTTTTTCTTTTTAACCGTATTTTCTTGTAGAGTTTGGGTGTGTTAGTATTATGCGTTTTGATGGAAAGCTGCTTTACATGTCCATGTCAGTCTGCCCATTGGGCACAGTTTCTCACCAGGTAACAGTAGGAGTGTGACAACCGCATCATTTCTTACAAGCACACATACTGAGGTGGCACACTTCAACTTGAAGAAAGCACACAAGCAAACACAAACAGCCTATACGCACACACCTAGCACTCCAATTATATTTTAGATTTCCAGTTGAACAGGCTGATATAAAATTAAATAGCCCACATTGATCCAGCACAGGGTAATTGAAGTCGTAGCACCTAAAGCAAATATCCAAAGACGCTTTAATAAAAACAAGATAATAATAAAAAATGAGTCTCTAGTATAAATGCTATAGTAGAGTTAATAAAGTAACTGTGGTACTGTATATACTAGACATACACAGTAAATAAGAATTTTGCTACAACAAGTTTTATGTTTACAGATATTAATAAATGGGTCATTTTGTCTGACAATGTGCATTATAACTTTGCAAACTGGGGATGAATCAAAAAAGGTAATATTAATGGGAATTATTGGAAAGTTAAAAGTTATTCACAAAGCCTTTCTTACTGTGTGATGGCAAATAGGGACATTGTTATGACCCAATAGAGTTGTCAGTGATCTGACAAATGTTAGGAACTTTATCCAAGCAGCATGCAAAAACCGGGGCGAAGTCCAAAATTTTCTTATACTTTATCTTGTTTCAAAACTTCTAGATTTTCATGCAAAAAAAAAGGGCGGGGGGTCATTTATCTACCTATTGATTTTTATCTCAAAGAAGTCAGACTGTGCATTCTTTGAAATACTGTAGCTCAATAGCAATGCCAACAGATGAATACTCACTTATAGCACCTTTTGTAAATGATCACATTTCTAGTAAAAACTCTACTCGGTTTACAAGAAACACTCAATCGATTGCAATCCACACAGCACCATCACCACAGGCTAAACACGGAAAAAGTCACCAGCATCATCACTAATGGGGCAACTTTCACTGACTGACTGGCCGGGCCGCATAGCCGGGGTTTTCCCCTCGAAGCTGAGAGGTTTGCTGGATGAAGGTTTGAAGCAAAAACAGCATGTTGTTTATTTTCAGTTAACACATCAGAAGCTGTTCAAAATACATTTTTCAGATATAGTTTAGAGAAATATTTGCAGACAGTGAGGTTAAGATAACAAATATTGGAAAGTTCGGTGTTCTTGATGGTGTCTTAGTTTTTGTATGCAGCTGAGATTCTAGGTCTGTGTCTTTGGCTGGCTTTCATTGTGTTGCACATATCAGAAAATCCCCGATAACAGAAGTAACAGCACACTAATTTGGTAATTTGGAATCTAATGTCTCTGTGAACCAAATAGGGAGAATGATTTAGCAGAGCATTAAAAGCAAAGCAAATCTCCTAATTTTAGAAATAAGGTGATAATACAGTGTTTAGTATGAGTGCTTAAAAGGGTCTCCAGGAATTTCCAGGAAAATTTCAACATAGCTTCTGAGTTATTACTGCATGAAAAATAAAATGACTATTTTAAACAAATACAACACAGTATTGCAGATGTACACCAGGCTTGTAAGCCACAAATTCATGATAGAATAGTTCTTTTTTACCTCTAGGCCAAATCTCAGAGCTGTTGATTTGTATGTCACTGGTACATAAAAATGCATCTAAAATTCACTTTATTCCTCAGCTTGTACTTCCTTCAAAAAGAAAAATATTCAGTACCAAATAACACAGAGCTATTAGTCATAGCTTAAGTATGATTCCATTATTCCAGTTTGGACAAGATAAGGCCAATGGACCATTAGAAAAAGCCTCAGCAGCAGGTTTTCTTCTGCATTCTGCGTTCACATCCATTTTCATACACAACCTCCACTCTGGACTAACAAGCTGTAGGTTCTTCTGATAGCTCATTCTCCTACAGCTATCTGTTGTCTTTCCAAGGCGTACACTTGCACGTGCAAACATACAGACATGCACTTACCCGTGTACACACTCATCTTCAAATGCAGGCAATCTCTCAAACAAGCCAAGCCGCTTCCCACTTCTGAACACCCACACTATGTATCATGAAATAAACATTAAATAAGACTGTTCCTCCTCTGTCATTGTTCTTTGAAAATAAATTGAGGCAACTGCAGGCCAATGTTAATGCTTTGTTTTAGCCAGCGGCAGGCACATGAAACGAGCTGCATGAGGCACTGAGCTGACAGTAGCCACTGGCGCTGTAGGAACACACACGCGCGCACACACAAGTACAGAAATGCATGTACACTCTGCCCACAGAGCAGACAACAGATGAAATTCTAGCTGAAGACAGTTTCCCTGCAGGAGTATTGGCTTTGGAGAATGGAAGCTGATTGCGTTTGCTCTGTCTTCTTTCGCTGTCATCGATTCAGGGATAAACATGTCTGAATACAGGGCTTTATCAGCATTTACTGCTGATTACAGAAATTGCTCATTACAACAGAATTACACTCCCTTTTAAATAAAAGGCAATCAGCCCATTAGCATGGCCACTCAAATGCTACCTAAGAATACATCATCCTTCATTCTAGGGCCCTAGTGGATATGAATCAACTCTGACTCATCCATAGTTGCCTCAGCCTGAGCACTCCTTAACACATCTAAAGGAATATTGATCGAAGCTTTGACAGACGCATTGAGCTTCACAGCACATAGCAAGGCTTGCATGTTGGAGAGCAGGAACATCATTTCCTGCAGTTGGGGACATGACATCAACTTTGAAGACAAAAGTAGCCACTTTTAAAGTTGAAGTATGTCTGTCCTGTGTATTGAGCCAAACTGGTACTGTGTGCAATATTTGATTTGTCTCTAAATATAGTTTCAGGTCTGCCTGCAGTAGGACATGGTTTAAGAGAGAACAATAACCTGGAAGAGTGCAAATGCGGCAGGAAGCAGGAAGTATTTATCCTCATATATTTCATCTATTACAGACTGCTCTCTCTCTCTCAGGCATTGCCACTGACATTTACAGTACAACAACTCTTTTTTTATAGCACAATGCAGTGCAACAAATTTTTCATCCTTAGGCCTGCTGGCTCCATTCACAGTTGTTCATTATGAATGCCTCCGTGCTTGAACAAGATTAATATTTCCCATAGAATACCATTGGCATCACAACGACTCAGGGCTTTTTGATGTACACTAGCATATGATTGCTCACATCTGCAGACATTCCACAAGAACTTAGATAGTGTCTTTAAGGAATACGAACCGCATGAGTGTTGATTCTATGGTATATACCTAATGCTGTCTTCAGTGAGCTGACATATGGATGCTAAGCATTGAGTGATAATGTAAAAAGACACCAGCTTGTGCAAGACTCAGCTGGGATTAACCTGAAAACTGTCCGCTCCTGCACAGCATCTGGGTGTGAAAGAGAGTGACTGTATAAATAAATCTGATGCGTAAGAGGCTAATCTGATGCATGCGTGCGTGTGTGCATGTGTGTGTTTGAGTGTGACACATATTGCGTGGATGGATAAGATAATGGTATAACATAATCTAAAAATGAGTGCGGTGTAATCCTGTCGCAACTTGCACTACAGGATAAGAGTATATATTGTAAACAACAAATCTTGGATGCGTAAGCTATGGAGCAGCTGAGATTATGAGAATATGTGATTCAATAAAAAGGGGAAATAGGATGGATGGTGGTGCACAATACTGCAGCTATCCCCAAACTCCCGAGTCCCTCCTTACCCTTCAGACATGCACAGACAAAAAGAAAGACACCAGCATCCGTGCACATATACCTGCCAAGCATGGATAAAGAAGGGATTAAAGTGTGTCAGAAAATGGAAACTGGAGAGAGGCGCATGAATCATTGTTTCCCCAAGAGAACTGGTGCACCTATGGCTATAGACATATAAGTTCATATAAATACACACATGTGTAAAGCTGAACTAATTAATAATTATCCTGTAATATAATGGAGGTAAAGACCAACCAGTTTGCTTACAAAGTGCCCACAGACACACACAACACAAAAAGCAGTCTAGAAGAAAATGTCAGGCCTTTACAGCATTTAATCTTGTGCCTTTGTGTTTGGTAGTGTGTCATTCTAACATCATCAAACAAAATGTCTTCTTCCCTGTTTCATAGATTCAAAAGTACCTCTATTTGAGCTGTGATAACTAATAAACTGAATCTATGGCACACAGTAGGACTGAAGGGCGCTAACCAAAATGAAAAATGTCGCTCTAATGGTTCAGAAAGAGCAGCAGCATCATGAAACTGCCTATTCCGCTCATCTCAACCACACATGTAATCTACTATTCACTAGTTTTGGTGTTTGGTTTCAAGCTGTGTGTTGAAGGAAGGGTCCTTTCTTGAAGACTGAATGGAGTTAATTGGACATGAGGTTTGGAGGAGAACATCTGCAAACACTGCTGACTGATGTGTATGATCTGAAAGACAGCTGCCTGCAGAGAGCTTCCTAAAACTAACTCTTTCTTACTTCTCCTCTTTCTCCCACCCTTGCATCTCCGCTCTCCGTCCACATATGGATTCTGTCCCTCTCTCCATCCCTCTTTATTTCTTTCTTGCCATTTCCTGCAGAGGCTGAAGGAGCTCAAGCACAGAGAGTTTGCTCGTAACGTAGCCTCAAAATCATGGAAGGACCAGCGCAAGCAGGAGAAGGCTCTTCGGCGTCTGCACCAGCTCGCACAGCTGCAACAGGAAACTCAGCGGTGAGTGGGAGGAGTGTGTATTCGTGCATGTGGCAGCATGCGTGTAATGAGACCAGGGGCAAGAGTCCTGGGGGAGGGGGTCAGAGTGCGTCACATCCAGTCAACAATTCGTAGGTTTGATGGATGCGTCCACAGATGTGAGAGCGCTCAGCTGGCTTAGCTAGGCCACAGGTCCACAGGTGAAGTAAATATATCATGAAGACACACTCTTGCTGACACTCGGAGCATCTGATTCATTTGTAGGTGGAGGACATGAGGTTTTAGTGAAAAATTAGCAGCAGAATAACCATGAGTAAATAAAATGAGCAAAGTGAATTGTGAGAGGAAACTTGCTTCCCGCCTTGCTCACCTAAAGCAATCAAAACAACTAATACAATAAGACAATACATCATGCAATAATCAACTTGATTGCAACTATTCCCTGTGCAATTAAATGTGTTTCCTATAATCAGGTAGCAATATGTGAACAGCATTACTGTGACTACCAATAGAACGCACCTTTCCTTTCCTTCTCTTCTTGCTTTCTTTCTTTTTCCTTGTTAGGTTATAAAGATAGAGTCTATACTAAAAATTTAGGTCCCTTTCCTTTTTATATACTCTGCCATCTATTAGTCTAAAACTCTATCGATTTCCATATTATTCAAACAATTAATGTTTTCATGACTGCATTAAATTTAAGAGTAAGTGTCGTAACAGCAGCTTTGAGCTGTGGTAGAAAAGTTTGCATTGTTGCATAACCTCACCCAAAAACGATGCCACAGTAAGTGGCTTTGTGTAAATCTAGAGTGATGCCAGGAAAACTTAGACAAGTATTATCAGCTAAAGTCACATATGCTTGTCCTATCACATCTCGTTGCAGAGTCCAAAGAAGGACCTATGGCCTAAGACGCACAGTCAGAGCTGTGAGTCAGAAGCGTGATAAAGATGTGACACAAAGAGACCGCAGCCCTAAGGACAGACCTGAACCCTTGTGCCAGCCCCAGCGATCCACTTCTACACAGCCCAGGACAACTACTGTCAGCTACCCGTCAGAAAATCTGTGCAACTCTGTTTCCCAAGTACCACCGGCCACTGCTCTAGCAGAATCCCCACTAGTGACTGAGACAGCCGATACAAACACTCCTGCAGTGAGCCCCCAGTCTTGCCACAGCCTGTATCCTCAGCTGCCTCTCTCTTCACAGGGGAGAGTGGGAGGCAGACTTGGAGTATCCTTCTGTTTCTCACGCAGGGGGCCTAGGCTGGAGCCTTCTGCCTCTGTTTTTTCAGACCTGGAGGAGGAGGAGAGAGAGAAGAGGGAACAAATGAAAGAAAGGATAAGGGGAATAATTGAAGATATTGACAGGGAAATTGGGGTAGCAGATGAGAGGAAACACAGCGCAAGTGAAAAAAAGGATAAATCTGGCACTGACAGTGTCTTACCAAGTGACATGCACCCGTTCCCAAGAGAGGCCATAAAGGAGGAGGAACAGATTGAAAAAAGAGACTTAGTAAAAGAACACTTTCCTATTTCCACATCAGCACCTGATAATCAGAGTCATGATTCGCTGTTCTCAGCGTCTCAGGTGACCGTATGGGGCATAGGATCAGCAGTAGCACACACGGATACCAAACACACAGAAGGCAAGTCAGAGGAAAAGCAAGAAACGGAGAGCGAGCGGGAGGCGAGTCAGGATGTGTGTGTGCTCGGGAAGGATGGCTCTACCCGTCTGAGATGGCCTGTCAGTTTGCTTAAGTTCACCAAGTCTCAACCACACATCTCCTACAGCTGCAACCCGCTCTGCTTGAACCTTCAACGGCCAGAAAAAGTCGCAGAGGATCTGAAGGACTCACAACAAAATCAGTTGTGTTCCCTTTCAGATGAATCAAAACTACGTGTACCAGCTATTCTTAAACCAGACACTCAATCGTGTTTACAAAGACAGATAAGACAAGAGTTGAGAGCACACGGGGAGAAAAAAGCTGCGGAAATTTTCAAAGCAGAGCAACATATCGATGTGGAGACAGAAGCACACCTGTTCCTAAAGAACAAAAACCTTTTATCATCAGAAAGAAGACCAGAAAAAGAACGATGCATGCTAAGTATGGAGAACTGCATGCGGGCAGCTCCCCATCCATTTGACCCCACTCATAGTGACAGCTCTGACACAAACTTCCAGAATCCTCTGGGAGGCAGATTAGAGGGTGCGAGAGGGATCAGGGAGAAAGCCATCACAGCCCTGAGCTGTAAATTAGAGTCTGTCACCCAGCCTGGCACACAGGAGATGTGCATCAGTCCATCCAGGTGTGAGTGTGGGAGTGAGACAATGTGCAAGTGTGCCAGTGCTCCACAGCCGTATGTGGGTGTCTCTGAAGTATCACAAAAAAAGAGGAAAGCCAGCACAAAGAAACACAAGCTGGGGAAGAGAAAGATGGCTGAGAAGGAAAAAACTTCAGACAAGCGCCAATCAGCAAGGTGCAAAGTGAGGAGTGTTATCTCTACAGTCTCCACTGGAAGAGAGAGGAGAGGAGAAACTGGAGGGAGATGGGGAAAGAAAAGGAGGCAAAGAGAGACGAGGATGAGGAAGGTGGGGGGAGCAGGGAGCAGCTGTCTCCTGGGGAGATGTGAGGCTGAGCCAGTATCTGTCTCTGTCAGGAAGAGGAGGCCTCATAGGAGCCACAGCACTGAATGCCAGTCACAGCCAGACAGAGAGCAGGCAGAACACTCCAGCGTCTACTCCCATCTCAGCAGACACACAGCAGACCGAGACACCGAGAAGGAGGGAAAGCGAGACGGAGATGCGGCGACTTTTCCCTGGCGGTCTCACTTCTCCTTACATTCCTTCTCACCAGGATGTAACTCAAAGCTGTTTTGGGAAAGGGGTCACCATAGCAACCCCAGGAGTTTCATTGACTGCTGTTACCCTGACAACAGCTGCTGTAACAGCTCGATGAAAAAGCGAAAACTCCTCCAAGGGGACAGGAAATTCATTCATAGTAAGAGGAAGAGTTTGAGGCATCGTGAATTCTGGGAGGAGAGGGGGAGGGAAACACAAGGGCATTCAGGTGGCCGAGACAGAGGCCTGACTTCAGGTACAGAAGAGTGGGAGTGGATGAGAGGGGCCTGTCCTGGAGGTAGTGAGGAGGTGAGGTCAAGGACTGGGTGGAGCTCGAGGAGCAGAGCAGTGGAGTGGGATAAGGCTGCAAGGTTTAGCCCCAGTCCTAAGCGCTGGGGCAAAAGGCGCAGACATCTTAGCACTGAAGATGTCGACTGGGATAGATGGACATGGGGCAGCAGTGACAGCTGGGAAGACAGGGGGACACACAGGTCCACATCAGGCTCCAGGACAGGAGCTGACAGCAGAGACAGCCCGGGCGGTGCAAGGATATGTGCAGGCACCAGACGCTCAAGTTCAACACACTTCTCGAGCCCTGAGTGGTGGACAAGCAGACAGACGTACAGCTGCCAGAGTGTGATCAACACACAGGACAGCAGATGCCACAGCCCACGCTCTTGCAGCCCTTGTAGCAGCACCAACATGTCTGAGCTGAGCTGGGAGTGGAGCAGGAGTAGCACCTGCTCAGGAGTCACTATGGATGGGTTGACAGTTAGCTCCTGCAAGACGTCCTCGGGGGCTGCAGAGGCCAGTCAGCAGGCAAAAAAGCAGAGCAGCCTCACGTCCATTTCATCTGCTCTCTCCTCGAGCCCGTTCACACATTCATCTCCCAACAGATCCACTTTTTCACCGACAGTTCCAAGTGTCAACACACATAATTGTGACCGAAGTCTTTCACAGCTAAAGGATTCACAGTCTAGCCAAGGGCCCTCTGCCTCTGTCAACATGAGGGGCCCAGGCGCAACCCTTTCAGCTTTATCCCCCAGTAAGTTACTGCTACAAAAACCATCTAGGTTGCTTCTGCCCCTTATAGGAAAACTACCTGCAATTCAGCGAAAGGCTCAGAAGAAAAAGGGGCTGCTTGAGAAGAGTCAGGAGAAGGAGAGAGAAGAGGAAGAGGAAGCTAAGAGTTGTGGCACAGATCCTGGAGCAACCACTGACAGTCAGAAATGTTCTCCAGTTGGGTCAAATCCCAGCAGCATGCCAAATGCCTGCCCATCACAGATTAGAACTGACGATGAACAGACAGGTGGAGAGACAGCTCCGCCGATCAGCTTTACCGCTGAAGAGATGGACAAATATCGTCTCCTGCAAGAGCAGGCAAGAGAGCACATGCAGAAAGTCCTGGAAAACATACAAGAAAACACAGACAAAAGCACGCAGGCAAACTACACACACAACCTGCAGACAGAGAACTGTGGGAATTCAGAGGAGCAATACTCATCTCCGCAGCCTCAAGCCCAGTTAATTCACACAGACACGATGCATAAGCAAGTACACCACACCCTCCAGGTCAGTCTCCCACTTCCACACGTCAACCCACAAGAGAACTTTAGTCAGCCCATAGCTCTGGGTGTCCCAAACCTCACCCCACTCGCACCATCTTCCCCTCTCTCGAATCTCCATCACATCATTTTACAGCACACAGGCCTATCCATGCCCCCTCACTCTTCCTCGACTTCCAGCTCACCCCCCTCTCCTGCCATCCACCCACAGCCAGTTCCACTTCCTCACCCCCTCACCCCTCGCCACCCTTCCCTCCCTCATCATCTTCACTTCGCCCCTTTCTCCATCTCCTCCCTGTTTCCCTCCATCCTGCTATCACATCCTCCCACCCTTCTCCTTCCCCAGTCGCCCACTTTCCACGCAACCCCAATCTCTCCACTCTCCCCAGTAGCTCTGCAACCTTTGAATCCACAGCCTATCATGGACAGATCGTGGCCAGTGAAGTTTCAACAGAAGGCGTTATGATTTTGAGAGTGGGTGCCGTGTTTATTAATCTTTCTTGGCAGCACTGGCTTGTGGGAGAGAGAAAAGAGGAATGTATGGTTTGAAGAAAGGCCTGCTATTTGAAATCGGGATGTGTCAGTGCTTTTAGTAGTATCAACTCCAACTCTTATTGCACATATGCCTTCAGACACAGATACACACCAAGACACACATGCTCGTTCGCATGCATACACACAAACAGCCAAACTATTGACTGTTTTCAAATGAGAATTTGTTTCTCCATTTAGCCTTTGCTGTGTTTAAACAGACAGTGAAAGAACAGACTTTGATCCCTTGCTTTTTCCATCATTCCTCATTCACAAGCAAAATAAAGAGAAAGGTGCACCTGCTATTCAAAGACAAGCTAAGCTTGTGTCATCTTCTCTCTTTCCTTCTGAACCACAGACAGACCAGCTGCCTTTTGAAGTATCCTTCATGCCAGGGACAGAGACAGTGATAATACTCTCCCCTTATCTCCATTTCATACAGGTTATCTGAGTTAGAGAGTGACTTTCAGCTAACATAAATAACGCTCCAGTGGCCGGTGAATATGGCAAAGACATTTTAACCTTCTTGTGGACTGTATGTGCGGGTGTAAGGTAATTCTGATGACACACACTCATTCACAGCAGGAAGAACAACATCTAATTTCCATATCTGACACGTGTAAAGACCTGCTTTCTCTCTATAGTGTAAATATTCTGACAGTATATGATAATATTAGAATGATGAGAAACACCAAAATAAAATGTGAATTTAACCTTGACCAGTAGTACAATGCTTACCCCACACTCCATGGCTTCAGTGGTAGACCTTTTACACAACCTTCCATGTGTGACATTAAAAACTGTTTTTTTTCCTCCATGAAGCATTTAACAAATCAGTTTGTAAGACAGAAATGAATGAATCTGATAAGTTACAATAAAGCGTGAGTGAAAATAAATGGGCTTTCATGCTTTTTTTTTTCCTCCCCCGTCTTATTCTTGTTGATGAAGTCCAAATTAAGAATTAATACTGCATGGTTTTTCTGCAGTGGTTACATCTTTCATGCAAGCCTTTGTCAAAGAGCGCACATGGATGATTTTAAAATGGTACAAAATTATTAGATTTTTATTCTATCATAATGTTTTTTAGAAATGCAGCAATTTGTTGATTTGGAAAGCAGTTACTGTGTGTCCTGACCATCCCAGAGGCACGAAAGAAAAACTAATTGTGACTCTTTTGTCAGCCGTAGAAGAAGACTCGAAACATTCTGTACATCTTATTATCCTTTACAATTTTTTAAAGATCTGTTTATTCTTTAACCAAATTTCACCATCTAGCTGTTTCAAAACAACACTTTTTAAAAGTGTATATAGAAGAAAAAACTTATTTAATCACTAAAAACAAGAATAAACACACACACACACACACACACACACACACACACAGATGACTTTCTTACATATCTCGCCAAGGGTTATGGATGCTGGTAACTGTTGCTATGTATTCAAGCCTGGTGATTGGTGATGTGTCAAAGCTGCTTGCCAAATAGTTGATCACTGCAGCGGCCGGCACTCGGGGAGCAGAACACAGAAGAGAACAGAGCGGTATCCAGATGGTCTATGGGCTTAGACTACCCAGAGCGCTTTGAGAGATTGGATTGATTTGCCCTCCGTGATATCAGTGAACACAGCCCAACACATGAGGGGGGCTTCAGCAAGGGGTGACATAAATACAGGCTCAAAAGCAATACACAAAATGTACACTTTCTGTCCTGAAGCGTTGGCTACAAATACGTCATCTCTTGCAGAGATTCGGTAATTAGAGCACGGGTCTGCTTTCTCCTCCCTGTGACCCTTGAGCCTGTGTGTAAAGCGCGCGAATTTGGGAGAAACAGAAACCGAGAATCCCTATCTCTCTCCACAGGACCGGAGATCAAACAGACTGTGTGAAATATAGAGCAGCAATAATTAGCAGCTGTTACAGCATCAAACCTTTCTATCGCTACCTCTCCCTCTCTGACACGCACACTCACTATTACCCCATTCTTTCCCAGAGTTTAATTTGGAGACACTCAAATGTGCTGCAACTTCTGCGTCCTCAAATGCTGATAATCACAGAGATCATATAAAAGCAAACTGCTCCAGTTCATAACTCTGACTCTCTAATGGGGAAATCCATGAAAACAGTCACACACAAAAGAACCTAAGAGGTGGAGATTGAACGCTAAACACAGCGTGTCATTTCAAAAGCCTATTTATCCATGAATAGCGAGGCAATAGCGGAATCTTCACATTATTATATCACTAGATTTTTAGGCTCCCACGCACACACTTATCCAAACTGGGGTCACATGAAAATTAGCAATCGCAATATCACTGTACTTTCTGTCAGTGACTGATTAAACCATTACCTAAGCCCCAAGATTCGCCCCCTGGTGTGTACATGTTTTGCTGCTGTGTGAGCACACACACACACACACACACACACACTCAGGAGTGTGAGTTGATTTATGATGGAGAGGAAGCGGTTTCTTCAGTCAATCGCTTCTGAGAATTAATGAGGAATAAAAACTAAAGCTGGCACTCGGTCAAAATACACCAGCAGTCACAGAGAGCTCACTGCTGAGGCAGGGTCGCCTCTATTGGCACCGCATTTGATTGTTAGATTGCGGGTAGGCTATAGATTGCACTGAGCAAAAAGAGCCCCTTACGGCTACTGAAATGCTCCATCGACCTAAATTGCAGTGTTGTATAAATGAGACACTTCCCCGTCTCTTGCTCGCTTCCTTTCTTTCCCTTTTTTGCGATCTCGCCTCCTACCCTTCTCTTTGATTCAACCAGGTCAGTGGGGCTGCCTTCAGCTCCCCCGGCTGTTCTCTGACTGTGCAGAAGGAAAGGCACCATTACACTTTGTCATCTCAATTCCCTTCATTCAGACCATATCTTTTACATGTTTGAATGCTGTTGTACTGCACAGACCTTTGCAGCGCAATGTGCTTTTGTGGTGTTATTATTACAGCGCCCTTCCTATTCCTCTTCCCCCCACAGTGACATTCATTAAAAGTTTTCCTTGTGCTGTAAAAGAGACTGTAATACAGTTTCTCTCCAATTTTCCCTCTTTTTACTGGATCTCTGTACACTCCTAGGTGTAGGTGTTATACTAACAGCAAGGGTATTATTCTAACTGTTTTATTCAACCACCAAATGACACTGAAGCAAAAAGGAAAATAATGTAAAAAAAAAGAAGAAGAAGAGGGTAGAAATTCTCTTTTTCGTGAGTTGAATAGCGAGATGATCCTTTAATCACATATTTTATCATATAGGACTCTGAATTTTCTGTGATTTTGATGCATCACCTTGTTAGCTTTTGTGAGCTTTTGAACTTCCATAAAAGAGTACACTTCAAAGAGTAATCTGTCACCACTGATGCATAAGAGATACTGCTCAGACAGGTGTAATATATGGAAAGCTAAGCGGATCCAGGCTGTTTAGAGCTTTTACATCAAAAACGTTGCATTACTGTGTATAATTCTGAACCACGTAAAGCCAATTTATCATAGAGATTGCTAGTCTATTTTTTTGTGTTATTTCAATTATTTACTTTTTGCTTGGCTTTCTCGTTGAGTCAAAACTTGTTTGCGTAAGACTTGTATTATGTGGAAATGACTATGTGAATTTTGGTCTACAATGGATTTAAGGATTAGGGAAGGTGGTGGGCTAAGCGATACTCTAACATGTGGCACAGTCCCCCAAGGACATGACACTGTCAGCACATTGCTTACACTCATCTGCACACATACACACACACACATATACACAGAGAGGTATAATAGGGTATAATTTTGGGGGCTGTAATAGTGAGATGTGATGCTCGGTGGTAAGACAGCATGCCTAATTCCTCGGTTATGTTATCTCTGAGAGACAGATGTTCCCACCAAAGATTACTATGCACACACACACAAACTGCGAGCGTGCAGAGATGCACAAACCCATTCAATCCTCAGACAATAGCAGCAGTGGGAAGAGTCTAAAATAGCCATATTGACCAAAAACACAGATCAATGATGAAGATGACTTTTCTGAGAGTTATTTACGAGAGTTTCTCCAGAAAACTAATGAGGAAAAAAACCCCTCAAAGTTTTCCCTCAACAAATCTTACATTTAAGAGTCAAATAAATCATAACGGACATAACCTTGCGCCTCACTGAATATTTTAATGATCACACGAGTCCCACAAAGCTGTGGGGTTTGTGTGTCAATTCATCAGCAGGGTTTTCCAGGCCGTGCACACAGTTCATCTATTAGGAAACTGTTCTATAGGCGAAATGGTTTCACAGCAGAGGATAAAGGTCAATGTATTCATGGCTGTCAGGAAAACCCTTTGGTTAGATAACATCACTTGCATTACGTTGTTAATTCACAATTTGGATGCACAGCCACAGCGTTAAGAACATGATGGGGATGAAGGACCCACAGTTCCTGTCAATCCTAAAGTCAGTCGAGACGATTTTGTCCGGTCGTCTTTGTCCTGCTTATCTGATTTTCTGTCGCCTCCTAGGCTCTTGCTTAGCATCCCAGAATATCCATGAGCCTCTCCAGCATCCCGAGTGCCCAAGACTCAAAAAGAGCAAAAAAAACAGCAGCTTTGAAAGGGTGAACAAATTGCTTGTATACCCTAAACCAAATATGAGTGCTTAAGCGTGACTTCAAGGGGACAGTTTACATAAATGAACATGTGAATGTGCGTATAAACAGTCAAACTACCTCTCAAACTCTTTTCTCCTCTGAGCTTTGATCCCCCTCCTCCTGCTTCCGTTTAACTGGTTTCAGCATTAAGTCTCCAGATTCTGATAATTTCCCCCTTAATCCCTTCAGAGGAGCACCCTGCTTAACTCTCTAATTAAGTCAACGACACATTCACCAGCACAGCATAAACAGCACACGCACACAGCTAGGAGTGTCTAGCGATCTGATGCACGGACAACTGGTGGTTCCTGGATTGGGGAGTTTGTGTGTGTGTGAGAGAGAGCGAATGAGTGTTTGTGTGACTGTATTTCAATGATTAAGTCCCAATCAGGAGGTTGTTATGACAACACATGCATTTTTAAGCTGTTAATCCAGGATTATTCTCCCCTCCGCTCATCTCATTACCGTCGATTATTAAATAAAATAAAAAAAAGAAAGAAAGAAAGAAAGAAAAAAACCCACATACAAATGCACACAGACACACACCCTAATTATGGACTGGTTTCTCTGGAGATTGGAGACCTTTGCACTGTGTGTTCAAAGACATTTTTGCACACAGGTAAAAACAACTTACTGCATCTCAGACATTACCTATATACACAATGAAGCAATCACACTTCATAGATAAAAAGGCATGGCCATATATTAATAGAAGTATGATTATTACTGTATTTTTGGCACACTCAGAGACCAATTCTGGCCTTTCAGAGAGGAATTTCCAGCCAGAGCTGGAAAGAAAGCAAGCAAACAGTGAGTGTCCTTTACCGGTGATTGAATGTGTGTCCTTGTGTAGAATCTGCACACCCCTCTCTCAGCGAGAGAAAGTATTCCTGCGGTGCTGAAGCTGATGCACAGGTGAGAGAATGGCCAAGGATTTTGAGATCACCTAAGGCTTTGTGCCGACTATGGCCCACTCACACTAGGTCAGCTCAGAATAACCAGAAAGGGCTGACCGCCAGTGCTCACTCGCCCCTGGAGTCATTAATCACACCACACCACAAATGAGCCGCATGGACGGACACACACACACGCACAGAAAAAAAACACACACACAGTGGAGCTTGTTTTAATTATAAAAGGCAAATGCTAGATGACAGCATCGCTCCAGGTAGTCATTCCTCAAGGCCTGCACTGGTACATTACCATGTACCAAACATCACAGACATTGAATATTTCTGAGCAAAGCCCAGTCCACAAATAACAACACATCAGATCACATTAAGCTACGATAATCTGCTGCATATACAAATACACACACAGCATTATATCTGTAACTTTTCTCCTGAGCTGTATTTTATGCTCCTTAAACACTAACGCACACTATCAACTCACACTATCTGAACCCCCGCATTCCCAAACAGACCTCTCAGCTTGCAGTCGGGTCACTATCGGGATCGGGATCTCAGATAACGTTCCCATTTACCGGTTATGAAATTCTTCAAAGGGGCCGTGCAGCAGCGAAAGCCTGTGGTGTGTCATGTTTGTTAACAGGCATGGTGCATGGAGAAATACTCCGTGGAGGTTGTGAGTTGGTGAATGTCTGTCGCATGGAGCAGTCCCTCCTGCTAAAGGCATCTAGGGAGAAAAACTCGACACGCACCAAAAATATATCAAAGCGCAAAAGTCACAGCTCATACACCTACATAGAGACACGCATTCTCTATGCTAAAAAAATCAAATCAAACAGATGCTTAAAACTGAGGCAGCTAAGAGACGCCGACTGACTGCCTGCATGTTTGAAAGGCAACAAAAGGATAATACGATGTTGCAGTGTGGAAAAACTCTATCCAAATTTTTCATACATTAGCTTTCAAACATGTCATCATCTAGTTAACTGCCATGTTGTGAATGTTTCACACTTTGGGTTTTTCTGCTGTTGATAAAACTGTTCGAGCGACATAATTATCTTGCCACACACATGCACGCACGCACACAGTCACCCACTCAGATTTCAAAGCACTCTCTTCACCTTGCTGCACTCGGCTCTAAAGAAAGTGAAAAGCTTCTGTCCGTTATTGAGGTACGACAAAACATAACCCTGCCTGAGCATTTAAAAGCTAGTTTCTCCTTTCTGAAAGGGCTCAAGTCACTTTCAACAGTCAAGCTCAGAGAATCGCTTTCTGCATCAGGTAGTCAAATTCTCTTTTATGTCTTGTTGAATTAAATGAGCTCTAAAGCAGGAGAATGAAATGAAATGCACATAAACTTAACATAACAGAGCTGCATGTAAAGTTGGCATTTCGAGTAACTCTTACATGAGATGGCTCACTCTGCACTCTCAGAGGGGAACGCTCCTGCTGTCGTACTGAGGAAGAGCTGAAGTAATTAACATGCTCCCTTTGTGTTGTTGTTTGTATGTGTCGTGTATGTTTGCTTGTAGAAACCGAGCGTGGGTGCGCATAAGAGGTAAAAAAGCCTTCAAAGGTGCTCAGCTTCTGCTGCTGCTGAGATGTAAAGCTTTAAAAACTCATTTCTTAATAAACTTCTGTCAAGGAGATTAAGGGAAGCATTACTCAAGTACGGACTTATTTCAGTGAAAGCATTAAACAACTGGCTGAAAGAGATTGAGGAGACTGCTGCTTTTAATGCCGCTCTTTTGTGCATATCAGTGGATTTCAGATTTAATCGTTGATAAGCAGGTGGAAGAGGAAAACCATTAAAAAAAGGCACCTTTGAGATCTCATGAACTACAGAGAGACATGATGGGAGAAAAGTGAAATCACAAAATACAAGCAGGGAGGTGCGGTCAGTGTTCCATGGGTGCTTCTGCATCCTCCTCTTCATCATCATCACTACAGGGTTCAAAATCTTCATCCAAGGCTGGATCTGCATCCTCTCCCTCCACCTCTCCTCCCAGCTCGCCCAGAAGCTGCTCCACGTGCTCCAACATCGGCTGGTCGTCACATCGAAGCTTATTGTACAGCTGGCAGAGCGAAAAAGACAAAAAACAAAGAATGATGCAGGCGTATAATAGAGCAGTGGGTACACTGGAAAACATGAAAATGTTGACTAGAACGTAGGTTATAAAGCAGAGATCCAAGCAGAAAGTGCAAAATTATACTGTAGAGGCAACTGAAGTAATGATATGGTGAGTGAAAGGCTCTCAGCAGAAGCTTGGTCACTACCACATTCATAAGCAGGAGATTCGAGTTGAGGGAAGTAAGCAGCCCTCAGGTTTTAAGTCTCTAAGTGCCGGTTAGGACATTTGAAATATCCAAAATCATCTGCATTCTGTCAGCACAGCAGCCCACAAAACGCTGGTAAACAGTTTTTGTCTTTATTTTGGCAAATCAGCACATTTGATGCACAATCCAGCCGAGGAGGCAGAAAGACCATTTATCTTCCTCTTTCAACATGCATGCACACACAGACACGGAGAAATGTATCCTGAATCGAAGCGCATATGGTTGTGTTATAATCAGAGTTACCCCAGTGAAACACGCTGTGAGAAAGCAAGATAGAAAACTCCCGTTCTCTAAGCAGCTAGTAGATTTATCTCTGGTAAAATACTCTGCTTGTGTGTAATTGCTGAACTTAAAATGGAGCTGGGTGATAAAACTACTCGGGCTACCAATAAGGACAGCGAGCACAAGACTACGCTTCTGTGTGCAAATACATTACATAAACACGGGAGAGAGGATGCAGCGATTCATATTTTTGCTGCTCTTTCCAGAAACAAAACTAGAGAGGGGGGAAAAGGCAGTTGGTGGATTTATATAATCTAAGAATATAACTCTATTTTGTCTACCAAATGCAGTTAAAACCAAGCACACAGTGTTTTATGCTCACGGACAATCAGCAGCTGAGTGCCATCATTCTTACTAAAAGTGTAACAAGGCCAGGAGAGTGAAGAAGAGTGTGTGTGACTGCTTTGCCCCAGGACCAGTCTCTAAGCAACAGCAGGTCCTGACAGGAGACATGCAGTCCCATGGGAACTCATTTGGAGCGTTAGAATGTGCAGAGTGTGTGTGTGTGTGTGTGTGTGTGTGTGTGTGTGTGTGTGTGTGTACTTAAGTGGATGCTGTCTCTGCAGGTTGGAGCTCCAAGGAGGTGGAGTGTGACCTAGGTCCAGGCACAGGGTCTGATGCAGAGGGGATTTGACCCTCTCAGACCACACACACACACACACACACACACACACACACACACACACACACACACACACACACACACACACTCTGCCAGTGTCACTCTGAAATGCCTAGAGATGTTTTTCTACACCAAACAAAGTTGGGTTGGGTTTATACTAGATTTGCCTCAATACCCAGAATAATTGCACACTGCAGCCTTGGGTAATAAGTAGCGGGCAGTGGATGTCTTTCAAAAAGGAAATAATCTAGCAGATACAGTGAACATCTGCAAAGGTGCTCTATGTTCTACCATACTGAGCGTTACTTGGAAATTGTATTTATATGTAGATATACGTACTACAAATCAATAGCACATTGTGTCTGCTGGACAGGGTGCGATTATTCAACGTGATACTTTCAGCTAGCTAAACAAACCAGAGCTATTCTTTACACATTCCGCAATGAGTGCTGCTGAGATCAGCACTGCCGTCGCAAAAAAACAAGCATTTCTCATTTACAACAGCCTATGTTTTTTCTTCTCCCTTTCACGGCTCAGAGAGCTGCCTGAAGAGGGAGGGAGAATGCGGCTGATCGTATAACTTTTTCATGGTCCACTTTGCTCTACTTTCAAGCCCTAAGTCACTGCCCAAAGCACGCTTGAATAGGGACATAACGACTCAGACACACTCACATACATGCAGCATATTATACACCTGCACATACAGAGGTGTACCGACAGTGATGCGCGCTTGCTATTCCTTTTTTAAGCTGTTGTTCAGAGGTTGGTAATGTTGATCTGTCTGTCAGATGTGAATACAGCTCCATCTGATGTTTGTGGGTCCAGGGTGAAATATCTCAGCAATTATTAGATTATTTGCCATTACATTTAGTGCATGCATTCAAGAGGGTAATGACCAAAGACTTGGCTGTGCCCCATATTCAAAGATATATCTCAGTATCTATATAAAGGATACGTACCAAATTTTGTTCTACCAGGGTGATCATCAAAACAAAATGTAACTTCTGCCAACATATATTGGTTTATAGCAGCATACCTGCAAAAGTAATGATACTCTTCAGGCTGTTAGCATCTTTACCAACACTGACAAGTGCCTTAAGTATTTATTTTAAACTGGTTGTTTTCCATCAACCGGTCGTCACAGCGGTTCATCTGCCTCACCCCATCCCTAGCATCCTCTTCTGTCAAACCAACTCTCTACATGTCCCCTCTCACTTCATCCATAAACTTTCTCTGAGGTCTTTCTCTTTCCCTCCTGCCTGGAAGCTCCATATTTAACATCCTTTGTCCAATATATCCACTACCCCTCCCCTGCACATGTCCAAACCATCTTGCCTCGCTTACTTTGTCTTCAAACTGCTCCGCCTGAGCTGTCCCTATGATGTACTCATCTCTAATCCTGTCCCTTCTGGTCACTCCAAACTAAAATCTTGGCATCTTTAAGCTTAAACCAGTGTTATGACTAAATAGAGCCTCAAAGAGTTCAAAGTGTGGCCACATATTTTGTTATTTCATCATGGGACATTCCTGAAATGACAATTTTAATTAAAAGATGGTGAGTTGTAAATTTGATCGAATATCTTTAGAATTAACTTAAAAAAAATATCGAGTGCACATAAAATGTATTAGTATTGTATGTTATTTCTTAAGGTTCAAGAATGTTTCTGCTGTGCCTGTTGCCAGTGCATGTTCACCTGGGAACTGGAGAAAAATAAATTGAAAGTTATAATTCATCACTGAGCTCCAGGTTCTCCGACATTTAGTAACGCGATCCACTATAAATCAACATGGCAGCACTCAGTGAAGAAATTTCTGCTGAGAAGAGTTGGCAAGTTTGAGCTCATGATAACGACAGCATCAGCTCCGATCACCGGTAATAGAATTGAATGGGCCCATGAAATTTAATTCAAAACAGAATTATGTTTATTTCAAGTAAGCAACGGTGCTTTGGGAGCTGAATGAAGCCTCATTCTGTTTATGGTCATTAAATAAAACCTGCAGGGGCCTTCTGCTTGTTTTGAAATATCGAACAGTAAAGAAGAAATAAAAAGTCAAAAATGCATTAACTCAACACTCCAATTAAGCAAAGACAAAGATGTCTGATGTGTTGTTCCTATGGTAGGAGTCAGCATAGATTAACAGGATTGTCCAGCACGAAGTGGACGAAAGTCTAATAAGCACAAACGTACCCTTCACAGAAAATATATTTTCCTCTCATTTTTTGGTAGAAACCTTTTTTTTTAGAACTCGCACAAAAGGACAGGCTGATTACGCAGTAAAAGCCTAATCATTCCATCATTGTTCAACTTTTGCTCCACACCTGTGCTTAACTTCCACTTTCATCTCAGCCTTTATTTCATTTGGTAATACCTTCATTCTCCCAGCTTGTGTCCTGACTATTTTCCCTCAGTGCACTTTCCTTT